GCCAGTACACACAATTTTGTCTGGAGGACAACGTTCAGCCTCTAAGCCGTTCCACACTGTTTAAAATCTTAGATGTCAGGGAAGCATCCCAGAGAAAATCTTTGCAAGGTTTAGACAACACGGCTGCGGATGGATCATCTGCGTTTTATACTGTTGAAATTATAGTTGAAAGTCTTGAAAAAGGAGGGATGACGAAAGCCTGGTGCGATGATACAAAGAGAAAGTTAAGGGATGCAAAACGCTACTTAAAGACTGAATACCGCATTCACTGTAAACCCGATGAGTCTTTATGCCCAGACCATTGTCGTAAATTTGCTCTTGGGGACGAGGATGACTTGGATTATAAAGAAAAATGTGCACATCAACACACTGACGTTTGCGACGACTGCCGTAGTCTCGTGGAAGTCCTTGATGTCATAGAGAAGCAAATCTTAAGTTCATCTTGGAATCCTTACAGCATAGAGCAGCGAGACGATCTTCACTACGATTTTAAGCAAGCACGTTCATACATCTTTCAATGGAAGGCTCACATACTACGCTCCATTAACCAGGAAGTAGCAAAACAAGATTGTCTGAAGTTAATTTCTAGTAAGGCAAATGCAGCCCTTATAGTGATGGACTGGGCTATGAAGTTCCAGCAAATCAGGTACCGGGAAAAACAGTCCGACTGGTTCGGCAAGAGAGGTTTGAGTTGGCATATTTCCACAGTTATCACAAATAATCGAAAGGAGAAAGGCAGCTTGGAACTACAGTCTTATGCACATCTTTTTGATACATGCCAGCAAGACTGGTTTGCAGTAGCTTCAATAATCGAAAACACTCTGAAGTTTATCAAGACACAAAAGCCACATATTACCCAGGTGTATCTGCGGTCTGACGAAGCCGGGTGCTATCATAACAACGCTTTAATTGCATCACTAAAAGACATCAGCCAGCGAGTAGGTATAGATATTTGTCGTTATGATTATTCCGAGCCACAGTACGGCAAAGATGTTTGCGATCGAATTTTATGCCCCATGAAGACATGCCTCCGACGATACTGCAACGAAGGTCATGACATACTATCTGCACGAGATATGAGAACAGCACTTTCAGAAAGACCCGTCAAAGGTACGTCTGCGTGTGTCTGTACAGTGGACGAAGGAAAAGAAACCCTTCAAGTTAAAAAAATTGACGGCTTCAGCAAGCTACATAATGTTAAATTTGAGAAAAATGGCATTCGTGTCTGGAAATCCTACGGAATTGGTCGTGGTAAGAAGATTTCTTTCGATCAGCTAGTTTTTCAAAGCCAAGAGAGTACCGATATTAAGGTATGCGATGACTTTTTTAACCTTAAAGATACGCGACTATACAATTGCAAAAAGGCTGCATCAGACAAATCTCATGGGGATAGCGATTCGGAGCAAGACATTTTTGAGTGCTCAGAACCAGGATGTATGAAGAGCTTTAAGTCTTTCTCTGAACTGGAGTTACATTTAAACATTGGGGACCATTCTATAAATGAAGAAAGTAAGGAGAGAAAGGAGACACTTTACGACAAGTTAAGAAGGGACTGGGTTGACAGGTTTACTACAGCGGTCACCATAACTGACGAAGCACAACGCACCACTGCCAACGATGGAAATAAGAATGAGTTATCGACTTCAAAACATACTCTCCCAATGGGCTGGGCCCTGACGAAGCCTCGAAGCGGATCATCAAGATTCTCTGATCACGTCAAAAGCTACTTAACTGCAAGATTCGATATTGGAGAGCAGACGGGGCATAAGGCAGATCCTCAAAAGGTTTCTACTGACATGAGAAATGTGAGAGACGAGCAAAATAACCGTTTGTTCACAAGAGAAGAATGGTTAACCAAAAACCAAATACAAGGTTTCTTCAGTCGCCTTGCAGCCAGCAGGAGAAAAAAGCAAGGGATGTCAACAGAAACTGACCACAGCAGTAAGGGACTCCAGCAAGAAGATGAAGAGCATGAACGTCAAGAATTGATAGCAGAATTGATAGCTYGAGAAATAAAGCCGCTTCATCCAATCTCATTTGAAGCCTCCAATCTATGCGAATACGCACAAGAAAACAAGCTGGGCAAATTCAACGTGATAATGCTGAAAGAAATCTGTCATCACTTTGCCATACCATTCAAATCAAAGTACAGAAAGAAAGATCTCATTTCAGAACTTATGTCTTTCATCGAGGAATGCTCGTGTTTTAAAAAATAGTGCCAGTGATCACATTCATGCCATGTTCAGTATATATAGAAAATATTAGCTGGCTTGCCTTGAAAGCCAAAAAGTGTGTTCATACAAAACCTAAAGAAAATATAAGGTGTCATTTAATAACAAGCTCTTTTCAATAGCATTTACTAGAAGTTTAAAGTGACAAATAATTCGTTGCTAAAATTAATTGTATCAGCGCTTTCAAAAAAAAATTACAATTAGCAAGGTTGTTGTCAGCATATTTTTGAATCTCATTTGCATATTTCAAGAGAGATAAACAATGCGATTACCTTCTAATGGCTTCAAAAACTTTTCAAAACATATTTAGAACGCCTACTTAAACAAAGAAACGTCTTTTAGTGATTAAGATTGACAAATATAGTACGTTTTGTTGCAAAATTTGTAGTTAATCTTTCACCTTGTTGATTATCAGCTAGATTAAACCAGCCAGAAATGCTTGATTTCCGACGCTCTTGTACGGCATGAAAATAAAAGTGCCCACAAGTTTTATTTGATGAATACATAGACTGTTCCTTGCAGAGTKTGGCGATAATAGACTTAACTCTAGGTTAAGTCCCACTTTCGAGAAAATCGCCTTCGAATTCGGGTATTTTAGCGCCTCGGACGTTTTACAATTTTAATGCATATTTTCAAAGTATTTGATATTTTTCAAAATTTTTATCAAATTGAGATAGAAACACTTTGAATTACAGCCATAAGTTGTAAATTTGATTTGTGAAAATTTGAGTTGATTTCAATAAATAGTAAATTTTTAGCGGCGACTCGAATACATTGTTTGAATACAGGTTTCCCGATGGTTAATTTGCAAGTTTTAGGCTGTTGTCGAAAATCGTCTCAAAAAGTCCCTAAAAATGCGAATTGTTCCAAATAAACKCGATAATATTTCATAGTATATRATTGTTGACTTTTSRYGAAAAAATTAGAAAAATCGGTGAGGGGCCGAAATTTGCCTTATCCGTTCTTACGCGGACAGCCTCTTAAGATGCCTCATTTTACGAGCACTGTATACTCCTACTGGCTGCATTTTCCACAATATATGTTGGAAAAAAACTTTTGGCGCTTGGAAGACATCAAGTTTCACCCAGCGACCTACAACATGGAAGCAAAGGCCATTTAATCCTTCAAGCTCAATTTTTCTTTGACAAAACAATTCAGTTTGGCTAATCAGATCTTGTCACGACCTTTTTGCGTCTTCAAATAAGTCATTTGAGTATCATTTTTATTGTATGATACTATCTATATATACTAAAAAAGTCAATTTTCCTGCGAAATAGAAACGTTTTGATCACAACGATACGATCTTAGTACATCTTAGTCAACATTTTATACGCATTACTCATATGTGTCATACAAATGATTTGGATATAACAAGAAAAAGTAAGAAAAAAATGATTGTCATAGCTTTGATTATAATATCGTGATTCAGTTCTTACCTTCCATTTGGGGATGATGGGAGCTATTGATTCTTTCCACAATACAAGATAGAAATAACAGGTAACGTTCATATTCTTGTTGGGAGTCAAGTTTTGCCGATTTAGGTATATTAACTAATTGAGAGTCTGCATCAATAAATGTTACCGGTCGTAAATCATTACGGCCATGCTTTGACAAAAGATGCTTCGCTAGTGCACAAGTGTTGAGGAATTTCCTTTGGCACATGTTACAGTGTGTAGAACAAGACATTTTGAAGCTAACTCAGAAGAGTTGTGCCATGCGTTTTTAATTATGCGCAGCGTCTAATTTTTTCGGGCGTTTAAAACAAATAAAGCCAGCCAATGGTCAGAAAGTAATATCCGCTCACAACAATAACACCAACTCTTACTTGTTGATAACAATCGTTGTGCTAGGAATAGTTTGATAAGAATCTAAATTTTTTTAGCGATGGATGTGGATAAAGTGAAAAAAACGTATAGAAAGCACACGAAAGAGGAGCGAAAACTTGAAAAAAAGCGTTATAGAGAACGTAAAAAAGCGTTAAAACGCTCTATTAAKAATAGCATTGGAATCCAGGCAGAAGTAGAACCTGTAAAGATTTGTGCGGGTCCGTCAGAGGATAAGGTAGGAAATAATTGCAAATTCAAAGAAATATTGATAATCATGAAGTTACACTTTATGTTTGTGGGTTTACCTTTATATTAGTGTCTACTCGGTTTGTTAATTTTGTAACATTATYGAGATGCAATGGAAATAACCTCGTGGCCTAGAATTTTGAACGTAAATTATTTTTCTAATAGGGTYGCGACAACAAAGGTGCAGAGTTGTCACAGCATATCAGAGGYCAGAGGTTGGTTTCTTTAGCGAGAAATATATCCCCGCCGAAAGATAAAGCTGCCGAAACCGTTGCCCGTTCGCGCGACCACGTGTTCAAAAGCGAACGTTCTCTTGCAATACCCCAAATTAGAAGGGAAGATTTAACAGAGCAAACCCCTGATACTTCTATTGGTGGTGGAAGTTACGGAGCTTGTTTCAAAAGTTTTTACCGTGGTAACATACCTGTTGTTGTTAAGCAGTTAAAGAACACTGTTCATCACAGCCAAGCAATGAACGAAGCCCGGGCAATGGTATCGATACAGGGAAAAGAGCATCACCCGTCACTACCTTTATTAATTGGGGTCAACTTCAAAATTCGGCCTTTTTTAATTGTTTCGCAGTTTCTCGGCGACAACAATGGTACCTATACCTTAGGATTSGCAGTCAAAGAATCCCTTATTAAGTCATCAGATCATTGGTTGTCAGTTCTCATRGAACTGAGCAAAGCACTTGGCTTTATTCATGCTCAGGGTTGGCTTCACAATGACCTAAAGCACAATAATGTAGTTTTGCACTCCAAAAAGTCAAATGAGTGGAAACCAGTTATAATCGATTTCGGCAAGAGCGTTCGAAAATCCCAGGCTTTGCCTAGCAAATCAAAATACAAAGAACCAAGGTTGTTCTATTGGATCGCACCAGAAGTATTAGAGTGCCGAAGTCCACCCACAGTCGAGAGCGATGTCTTTGCCTTGGGACACATCATCAAGAATGTCACCCGAAATGCCATGAAGATAAAACGCCCCGAACTATTTTCGTCTTGTCTGGCTACAGATCCTCGTGATYGTCCYCATAGCGCACAAGCAGTGGCAGCGTCACTGAGCGAATTTAGAAGAAACAATTTAAGATAAAACCTCGCTGGACAACTAATATAAAATCGTTGTTCAAGGTCTTAATTGATAACGCATATTTTACACTCTTTTTCAATTTGTCCTACTAAGTATGTGACAAGCACTTCAAATTTTCTTTAATTAACTTTTGACTTAGAAGTAGGCCCATACTATACATTTTTTAACGTGTTTCTTTTTCAATAAAACAATTATAATGATAAAACAAAGAAAATAACCGAGGCTTTTTATTGCTTAGATGAGCTATATTAAATATCATTTTAGTGCTAATCTCCAAGTGTTGTAAGCGTCTTTGTTCGATCGCAAATACAGTCTGAATGCTTAATGAAGCTAAGGTAGAGTGAATCTACCTTAGCCTAATTTACATATAATTTTTGGTTGGACCTAAGCTCCTCATGTAACCGCCGTTGTTCATCTAAGCTTTAATAAGTGGATACAAAAGTCATGAAAAGTCGCTTCAAAGAGAAACTTTTGGTCGAATCAGCTAAAAGTGTAAGTAAAGTATTGTATTCTATGTTTAGGAAATGCTTACAGAACAACGATTTTGGTAAGGCGATACCAGGTTGCCGTGCATATCGATGCATAATTATGGCCATAAATAGGGCTGACATTGATTGCTCTCAGACCTTTGTTTATGAATTTCCCAAAAATTTTATTTGATAAAACAAAAATATAGGAGCATTTCTTCCCACGTGTGGCAATAGTTTTGAGCTCAGCCATATACCAGTGTAGATATACGNAGCATCGTCAGATAGAAATTTTGCAGTAAAACTTGTAAGAAAGTTATTTAATAAGGAGGAACTCGAAGGTCGAAATGTACGAGGAGTTCAGGGAAAACAACCACTAGATGCAGCCAGGATTTCAAGTATTAAGCAAGCGATAGCTAGATATTTTCCTGTTCCTGTAAGGAATGTCAAAACTCAGTTGGCATCTTGTAGAAAAGCCATCGATTCCTATATTAGAGGAATGAAGTTTTCTAGTAGAACTCAGTAATAGTAATTGACTTATAAGTGTAATCGATATATCTACTTTTTATTGGCGACCTTAGACCTTAATATTATACTTTATACTAGCTTATTATTTATACTGTATACGAATAAACTGATTTTAAAGTAACTGTGTTGTTGAATTGATTAATATCAAGTGTATTGCGCTAATTTGCAGCTCGTGGGTGGAAACCCATCTTGTATTTTGAGACTCTTGATAACTGAACTTGATACATACATGTATCATCAGTACAAGCTTATACTGTGCCATGTGCACGGTTCTTGTAAATTCGTTTTACCGGATGTCTTTGCTTGTCTTAGTTTGAATGGTTTTAATGCTGTTGAAAAACGCGTTCGAACGCGAACGCGTTTGAATTCGCCATGTTCTAAACGAGCGGGAGTATGGGTTCGAGTTGCGACCGCAATGTGTCTATGGATTGTTTGGATGGACAGATTTCCAAAACAATATGGCTGAAAGCGAAAACTTTTCAAAGCGAGTGACAAATATTGTAGTAAATCTAACTGAAGATGATATTCCTGGTGCGAAACTAMCGCGCGATTCTGTTGAGAAATGTTCCGTTGTTCAACTGAAGAGATGGCTACTTTGTAGAGGCGCAAAAACCACCGGATTAAAGAAAGCTTTAGTGTCAAGGTTTGTATCGAAAGTTACATTTATGTTGCAATTTAAGAGCCGCTTCGCGCAAAAACCAGACAAAACGGAAATTTTTTGGCAAGGCTCGAAAAATCAAATCTGTTCATATTTTGTATATTGGTAAGGTATGATTAGGTAACAATCGCTGTGTAATTGGTTTTTGAAAATATTTCATTTTTCGCAAGAAAATCGCGAATTCATGTCACATACTGGGCCTTTGCGTGACAGATGCTTGATTGCTAAAAATAGCTCTCAAAATAGCCAAACTTTATACCGAGTTCATGTAAAAACTAAAATAGCTATTTTAAAAATTTAAATTGCAGCTTTCTCACTAACTCTTTGATATTTATTTCAGTGATTTTCAGACCATTTTATTAAAAGGAAAATTTTCTGGAACTCGAAATATTCGCATATGTATTTTTATATGCAAATTAGTATCTTTACAAAACGATTTTTTAAACGTGCAAGTATTTTGCTTGCAATAAAATTCGGATTGATTACTAAACAAGAGATGAGCTTTTCAAATACATAAAAATTAGTCTGGCAAATCACTCTCAGTTGCATAGAAATGAATAATTCTGGCGATAATAATCCGTTGAAACACCAAATGTTTTAAACAACCGAAATTCATTTACATTGCCTAAAATGTTCAAAGAAAATATGCTTAACCCTTTTTATTTCAATAACATACGTTTAATGTTGATTAGATGTTTATATCCTTTGAAAATTGTTGGGTTAATACAACTGACAAAATGTGTTTACGCTGATAATTTTGACTGGAATAAGTCATTCCTACGCACCTGAATGTGATTTGCCCAGACTTATTATTATTTTTTTGTAAAGCTCATGCCTTGCTTAGTTATCACGCCGAATTTCATTGCAAACAAAATACTTGCACATAGAAAAAATAATCTTTTTTTCTAGGTGCTAATTTGCATATACAATTACATATGCAAACACTTAGAGTTCTAGAAAATTTTCTTTTTAATTAAATGCTCTGAAAATCAACGAAATAMATAAGAAAGAGTTACTTAGAAAGCCACAATTTAAATTTTTGAAATTACTATTTTACATTTCACACAAGCTCGGTAGAACGTTTGGCTATTTCAAGTGCTATTTTTAGCCATCAAACATTTGTCACGCAAAGGCCCAGTATGTGACATTGTTTAGCGATTTTCTTGCGAAAAATGAAATATTTTCAAAAACCAATTACACAGCGATTGTTACCTAATCATACCTTATCAATATACAAAATATGAATAGATTTGATTTTTCGAGCCTTGCCAAGATATGTCTTGATTTTTGCGCGAAGTGGCTCTTAAGTTAATAATTCAATGTAAATTTACAACATTTAGTTATGTATGTTATCGTTTTGACTGCTGAGTGAACGACTACATCAAACATGGATTCGATGTCAAATATTTGCGTGATCCAGACGGTGGGGTCAACTTACTTCGAAAAAAAGCAGAGCTCGGCGTCCTCGACAACCAGGAGCCTGAAGTGACAGACTCATTCCCAAAAGAAGGATTTCAGCAAGATATAAAGGGACTCCCAAAGATATCATTCGGGACTATTTGGAGATTCATGATCGAAGTTGTCGAATGCAAAAAGCAGCTCTCTACTGCAAAACCACTAGTGAAAGGTTTTAACTTTTTTTAAATCTGGACATGTCCTGTATATAGGCCATCTACATCAAGATGGCAAACGCTTCATCAAAAGCCAAGTCCTCCCATCCATGAAAAAGGACAAGATTTATACTTGTTATTTAGTGATAAGCTCAATGGGAAAGATGTTAAGAGCCCACTGCTGATGTCATGCTGGGATAGATGGCAGATGTAACCATGAGGAGCTTAGCCTAGCAAAAAAATTCTAAAAATGCTATCAATTATTCATGAAAAAAGGTGGTGATTTGAGTCAATAATCATCCAAATCACTGAAAGGTGATAATCCAAAGATATTTGTTTTGTCCTACATAAGGGAAATTCTTTGGTTGTTTCATAGCCAACATACAGAATATGTTTTTAATAAACTTCTTATGAATTTTAAAAGTGTTTCTTAATGGTTGCATTGTGCGTTTATCTGGTTATTGGGCCTTATACCAGGAGCGCTCCCTGGTCTTAGGCGAAATACGGACGGAAATTTGTAAAAAAATATAAACATTATAATTGAACATCAATGGTTTTCCTCTTTCCATCATAAAATAATGTACAATTTATTATGATGAAATTTAACTATCAATAATATATATATCTATGAAAAGTTTTGTCTGGTAAATGGATCCGCTACCGAACCGCAATAAACGATGACGTTTGGGCTAGCTGTCTCARCTAGTACTCAGTCTTCTGTCGGGTACGTTTGTAACGCCTGTCTATTCTTTCGTGTACAAAATAAACTCAACCTTTTGTTATGAGGAAGAAACGCAAACAAAATAGTTAATATCAAACTRAAGCGGGAAATTCGACTTAGTAAACACCATGCATGCAYCAGAGATATCATTTGAGCCGATCAAGACATGGAGAGCGATGCGATCGACGATCGTATACCTCTATGTCGTGTTTCTGGCGGTGGTCTCGATCCTAAGAAGAACTGGTATGTTATTACTAAAGACTTGTGTGGTTCTCGTCCAACTGATTTTTCAAAGAATGATATTTTCAAAGCATTCAAAGAAGAAACATGCAATGTCCCTGCGCGGGAACTTCGAGTCGAATCTGGTAGATGGCCTTTCACCAAAGATCCGAGTCATGGAGTTCAAGTTGCTTCGACTTTTGGCATTTGTGCTGGAATACTGCGCCAACGAGACATCCGAGGGAATAAATTCCTCAATTCCTCTGGATTTTCTAAGGTTTTTGAGGCAATTAACTCAATCGAACTTAATGATGATTTTGGCGCCATTTTATCATGTAATTCAAATAGCTGCAACACTACTTCTGTGAATGATTCTGGCTATCAAAGTGACAATTTAACTAACGAAGTTGATGCCATTAAAAAAGCAAAGGACAGCCTGTTGGGCCCAACTCTTAAAAAGAGAAAAATAGCCACTCACTGTACTAAAGTCATGGCAGATCTGTCTGGCATCAGTGAAAAATACCATGAATCTCTGGCATGTGTTATGGGCAATAGCTTTTTGTATGGTGGAGAAGAAGAAAAGGAGGCTGTCAGCAATATCATTTCTGAGGTTTTAGATATTGTGATGGATGAAAGAGGGCCAAAGACAGGGATTTCTGATCTTCTTCACGTGGATACCTATAATTCAATTTTAAAAACTATGAGGGTTCCAGACTGGGTATTACTTTACTTCAAATTGCAAGCTCGAATACCAGATAAAGCTTGGCAAACACTGTTGAATTTAACGCAGTTGGGCAGGAGTGGAGTAAGTTGATTTAATGTTGATTTGGCACAGTTCTCAACCATGTTCTGAAAGTTGTAATCTAAAAATGTATATTWAATGTTTTATATCAAAAAATTTTATATGTAATTTTTTGTTTGTTTGTTTCAGCGAGCAGCTGATACACCAATTCTAMTGACCAAAAACCAAATAACATCAATTAAGAAGTTGGTTTTTAAAGTCATCCGACAGTCTTTTAACATCAAAAGCATTGATGCAGACTATGCTGGATGTTGTGTGGGACTAGCTTCTGTGATCACTTGGGCTATCAGAGAACAACGACTTTACTCCCCAGACATGACAAATTGTGAATTCAACATAAAAATGGATGGCCGACCACTTGGGGGACGTGACCAAGTTGCTATTGGAATTGTCCCTATTGATTTTGATAATAAAAGTCCTGAAAGTGCATTGTCTGTGTACCCCATTGCCATAGGAAACTGTAAAGAAGAAAGGTATTTATAACAAAGGAAATAAAAAATATAGTAAATGATGATCCTCAAGGATGTTCCATCAGTGTAATTGATTTAGTCTTTGATATATGTATTTCTGATTTATTCATGACTGTTTCAGGAAATATCTGATTCAGTTGATTGATCGGCTTAATAAAGAGAAGAATGTAATAAAAAGGCACGGCATTGTTGTTGATGGGAAGAAGTACACTGTTAAGTTCACAGGTAGATCAGATCATGTAGTTTAAAAATTTTAAATAGTATATGGATTCTATTTTTACTGTTGATAAGTTTGCATGTCCGTGTAAYTTATCCTCTAGTTGTCATTTTTCACAAAATATTTTAAATATATTTTTTTGGTTTATTAGAACTGATTTTGTTTGTATTTATTTTCAGTCACCCTGGATTATAAAGCATTGCTTTTACTGCTGCCAAAAAAAATGATGACAATTTCACTCTTGGAGGGAAAGGATATGGTGTAGAATTCTGTGCTTTTTGTGACGCTATCAGGGTATTATATAGTTTACATTGTTTGTACACAATACTGCTGCATGAGTGATACTGATATGACATAATTGCTTTCCTATTGTATTCATTTAGGATTGTCTTAAAAGAATGATTTGACCTGACCTATTTAAAATGCTTACATGTAGTATTTCTTTACAATTTTAAAGATAACTTGAAATTTGTAACATAAAA